AGTGAAAAAATATACTCTGGTGAACATTAAAGAAAAAAGAAAAGGAAAATTCACAGAACATATAAATAACAAACATGGGAAACTTAATCTCACTAATATTCAAACAAATACAAATTAAAATATTAAATTGTGTTTAGCCTATCAAATTGGGAAACAGTTTCAAGTACCCAGAATTCTAGAATATAGGGAAATTATTGCTAGTAGAACTATAAATTGTACTTTTAAATTACATTTGAAAATACATATCAAAAGTCTAAAAAATATACATATCCTCTAACTCAACAATTTCAACTTTTAGCAATTGGACCTAAAGCAATAAATCAAAGAACACAAAGACTGTCACAGTAATGTTCACTTAAACATTACCTATGAACTAATTAGCAACATGAGGAATAGATTAAACAAATAGCAACTGATCTGTAAAACACTAATCAGGCATTAACAGCTGTACTAATAAAAGCCTACGTGGTCCTGTGCCCTTACATGGTGCCCTCATGTCGCCACAAGATGGTCACCACAAGATGGCAGGCAGGGGAGGGCAGTTAGGGGTGATCAGGCCTGCAGGCAAGGGCAGCTGGGGCAATCAGGCCTGCAAGGGAGGGCAGTTGGGAGCGATTGGGCCAGCTGGGGGCGAATGGGCCAGCAGAGGAGGGCAGTTGGGAAATATTGGATGAGCAGGGCAGACGTTAGACGTCAATCAGACCAGTAGGGAGCAGTTAGTGGGCGATCAGGCTGGCAGGCAGAAGCATTAAGAGCAATCAGGCTGGCAGGCAAGCAGGCAAGTGGTTAGGAGCCAGCAGTCCCAGATTGTGAGAGGGATGTCCGACTGCCAGTTTAGGCCCAATTCCACAGGGGTTCCAAAATGGAGAAGGTGCAGGCCGGGCTGAGGGACACACACCTCTGTGCACAAATTTTGTGCACCGGGCCTCTAGTAATGCTATAAAAGAATATTAATGGTAAAGAAATGTTTAAATTTTAAAAGACTATAGTAAGTTATAAAATTTTTTTAAAAAGACTAAGTCAGTAAAGTGTCAAATGGTTTTAAGCCAGTGTTTCCCAACATGGGGCATATGCCCCACAAAGGGGCAATTTGATTTTTAAGGGGGCAATTCAAGAATGAGTTATTAACAGTGAATTTTTTGCATTGTTTATGGTTCTTGGGGCCTCATATACAGTATATAAATATATATTGTGATATATTTATGCATGTCAATTCTTTATTATGTTTTGAAACTTTATTTGCTATTTTTTCGTTTCATATTATTATTTTTTAACAATTTCTTAGTGATTTTTTTCCCTCAGTACTTCAACTGTCCTTTTGTTCTCTTATTTTTCCCTTATGGATGCCATGTTCTTTGGAAGCTTGTTTAGACCAATTTAATGAACTTTTAGGCTTCCTCCATAAATAGGAATTTACTTTTTGAGTAATAAGAATTATATGTCACAAGGGGGGCATCAGGATTTTAAAGATGCTTAGGTGGGGCATGGGCAAAAAATAAATAAATAAAAATAAAGAAGATTGGGAACCACTGTTTTAAGCAGTTAAATCTACCTAATAAAAGGGTAACATGCTAATTGACCATACCTTCCCTATGCCCTGCATCCAATCAGGAGTATGTAAATTAACTCCTGATTGGCTGGAGGGCATGGAGGGGACAGGGCGGGATGCTTGGGTCATCACCAATGCGACAATGCAGGCATTCTGCCCCACCCGAGCTGCTCCGGGCCTCTGGGCAGCGCGGGAAGGCGGGAAGGCAGCTCCGGCCCATTCTTGCACAAATCTTTATTCCTGCATCGGCCACTAGTTCAATATAAAAGAAATATGACAGCAACATAAATGAGCATAATTTAAAATAAATTCCTAAGGCTATTCAATCTCAAAGAGTTACAGTTCTGTATGTTCTAGAACTATTTCAAGTTTTAAAGTGACTAACCTATCACTACTGTGTAACAATTTAATTGTTAAACAAGTCCAAAGCAACAACAAAAAAGAATGGTATCAACTACTATGTTCAATAGCTTTTCTCAAATTTATCTGCATTAAATGTTAATGGGTATAAACAACAAGTAAATCAGAAGGAAGGACCTTTTATTGAATACTTTTGAAAAATGCAAGACCTCTGTGTTAATGTGCACAGTAACCTGAGGCAGTATGTCTTCCAAGCTTAAGCTCAGAAGTAAGGGATTCTCATCCTGAACAAACTGAATGTGCTTCCCTCTCATTCAAAGGGATACAGAGTGTCTCTCAGTTCCCAGGATGACGGGGAGCAGGACGGGTCACTATCACTAACAGAAGTCAGTGGGAGGTGAGTGGGACTGAGAGACATCCTGGGGCAGTCACAGGAGTCAAGAGCTCAGGAGAGAGAACAGTTGGACACATAGATTTTTGACATCAGTATTTAGGTGTCAGGTGAAACCATTACCATGATTGCCATTAACCAGAGAGTGCTTTCTGTTTTTAGTCTAGATGCCTTGAATCCAATAATAAGACTTAAAGTTTTCCCATAAGCACCCATTGCACCATTTGTTTACATGCGTCCCCTCCTCCAAATGAAATGTGCTCCTTGATTCCTAAGCACAAGGATCCTTGCTGGCAGAGTGTCTATTACAGTACCTGGTACAAAGCAAATGTGAATCAAATAACTGTTCCGCCACAAATGATTTTTCTTCCAAAAATTAACAAAATAATCCAATTTTACCTCATTTATGTTCTAATTATATATTCAAATAAGTGAAATGACCCACAAATTAACAAGTACAGGAATACACACACACACACACACACACACACACACACACACACACACACACACTAGAGACACATCACAGTTTAACTCTGGGGCGGTGTTCAGTTAAAATCTATTAAGCTTTGGCTTTTGAAAGACCAGTCAGTGCCTGCTTCTCTGTCTGCCTAGCACCAGGGCCTGCACCCGATGGATGAATGTAGGAGAACGAGGGATCCGTGCATCTAACCAACAGAAAGCCAGCATCACGAATGCCTGAGGAAAACGCCATATTCTCTTTCAAGTGTGCATAAACATTCTAGAAATAACTGTCATTGAAAATGCCTATGGCCTTTCTGTGGTGAAGTTCTACCAGCTGAAGTATAATAAATGTGTGCATGATAAAACAAGAGCAAACTGCTGCACATATTAATGATTATTATGAAAGCTGTTATTTCATATTCAAATCAAGTATTAACTTTCAAACTGTTTGGAGGGAAATACATCAACAGCTAATACATTTATTAGAAAGAAACAGAACTTCTTTCTTGATTTTTGTCCTTTATAGCCAGTAAATGCTAAAAATTTTTAAGGAATACAAGGCCAACTAAGAGAGACTGTATTATGTCATAAATCCAATATTTGTAGATTTTGTTTTTGTTCTAGCATTCATAAAAACAACTAGATAATCTTTATAAACTGTATTTACTCTTTAGGTATTTCAGTTTATCAATAAGCCTTTCAAAAGAAAGCTTTCTGAAAACTCTTATGAAGTAAAAATAAAATAGCAACTTTGCCACTTCAAGTTTTCGTAAGAAAAATCTCCAAAATTACTAATATTCATAAGGAAGTCTCTGAGACACCCCAAAAGCACCTTGCTCCTTACTGACCTCGGTGGAAAGTGAGCATGTACTGGGCATAGCCAGCGTGCAGGGCAGTGCCCAGGAGCAATGGGGAGCGGGCAGTGCTGAGAAACTCTTCCTGCACCAAGAGGGCACACTTGTAAGATCTGACAACAAAATTTTCCGTAAAACTCTAAAATTTTCTCCGTAAATGTTTCTACTTATTTCTCTATGACGGTGATATTCAGCCTCAGTATATCAGCCACTCAACTACCCTGTGTGCAAGGCATACATCTGTTATGTATGTGCACGTTTGAGAGACAGATTACGGATGATTCCTCACCCATCTTTTAGTTAAAAAGGATTAGCATCATATTCCTTAAGTCCCTCATAAATGTAAAATATTATTTGATCTGTAATTTAATTTGCAAATACGTTCAAGCACACTTTCTCATACAAAATGGTACACCTAAGGTATTTTTATAAATCCACTCCAAAGTAAAAGAAACGTTAACTTTTCCTTTTTTAAAAAACAAAGATCACTAAAAACAAAACCAATGACAAAATCGTTAACAGCTACACCAATATTGTAATTTAATATCTATCCAGGATTTATGCACTTAATTCTTTTCCAATTAAAACCATATTTTCAAACAATTATAAATATAATCAATTAAGACCATCTTTGAGAAAGTCTACAAAAATAAGCCACTTGGTTCAACAAAATGTCTCATAATTGGCCTAATTTAAGATACAAGTTTAAAGTTAATAACACTTTATCCATTAGCTACATTACATTTTGAAGAGTTTGAACAGAGCCATACATGAATTAGCCTCAATTTTTCCATATATGATTAAGAGCACCTCAATTAATTATAAAACAGTCAAAAATAGTTTCAAAAATGACTCCATACTGCTTTTTCTACATAAATGACAAAGGGATGAGAGGGAAGGAGGAAAGGCAGGAGGGAAAGAAGGAGGGAAAGGAGGGAGGATCAAAATCCTAGCCATGTTTTAGAAAGGGATCATGCATATAGATCTATTATCCTTAATTTAATTTCCGATACACTGTTATATCCTTAAAAGACTTGTTCTATTCTAACAGGGATCTAAAGGAAACATGCATTCAACTATAAAGGAAATAGTTTATTTTTAACAGAAATACTTCAATTCTCAAAGTATTAGTCAACCATCCACTTATAAAAAGATTAGGTACCAGCAATTACTAAGCTGCATTTGTATTATTAGCATTATAAGCCACTAATTATCAAACTGATTTCCAAAGTCAAGTTAAATAAAGAGCCCCGCTATTTTTGCATTACTGATCTAAATAATTCTCCCCACTATTAGTTTTTACCAGAAAGCTCCCCCATTCAAAATATTTCACATTCTCTCAGACAGCCATAGTCTTACTGTATTTTAAAATTTGAGTCACCTGTATGCATCGTCTTCTTTCAAGTCTCATATCATCCTGATGGGGTGGGGGAAGGGAGGGAAGAGTCCAGCAGCAAAACTATAACACTGTGTGAAGAAAAACAGATGATGATGAGAGATAAGGATGCGAGACAATTATCCCTAATTGAGGGATATCTAAAGTAACTACAATCCCCAAAACAGACATAAAATTAATTCAAATTCATTACTAACATTTATTTAAGCTTGAAAATAACTTTTATTAAAGTATTCAATTGTCAGGAAGAAAAACATTTTCAAATCTGCCTACTACCAATGAAAACTTCACACATTTGTAGATACGAAATAAAAGTCAACATTTTATTACTCTACGTAATTTAACTGGGGGGAATCTACATATTGTAATCTCCATCAATTCATAAATCAGTATGAATGCAAGTTCACTTTCATCGTGACTTATTATCAGAGGTAATCACAGGTGATGAAAATTACTTTATAGGAAAGATAACATGTCAATCTACCAATGTTACTTATCAATGAAGTCACAACTGCTCCTCTACGCCCACAAGCCCTCTTTTGCTCTCTGAATGGCTTCTCTTACTTTATTCTAATTATTTTACTGTATTTCCATTGATAATTTCATGACTGACCAGCAAATTCCATAATGACTGACAGAAAAGCAAAAACAACGTTATTATCAACTGAGAGCACATGCTAACAGCAGAAGAGCCAAAGACAAGCTTACAGGCTACAACCTAATTTATAAATGAGTTCAGTCTAAAAATGTATTTTTTAAATTGATACTATGGAATTCAATAAATCTTCCTTATAAAACAATGTTGCTTATCTTGGTCCGTTCCCAGGCTAGCCAAAAGACACTTATTGATTCTCAAAGACATTACTGGTCACGGGCACTAGGGACTCTGCAGAACAAACATAGGAAGTTAACCAATTCCAGATCCTCTCCACCTGGACAAATTCTAAAGTTGGTTTGTTCCTCTGTTAGCACTCTCTCAACTCCTAATGCCTGAGGTTCCCTGAATGTTACATTATGACATCCCAGTCATCCTGCTTAACAATAAGCCTTTTGCCTAAATACATCCCCAAATTTCCATCTAACACTCCTCCTGCCTCAGTGTAGTTTCATGTCAGGTAACTGATAGAAAGAAATCTACTGGGCTGAAATAATTCACTTTCACTAAATTTGCAATTTCAACAAGGATGCTAGTTAACACAAATGAACCCCTAACTGATAGAATTCTGATAGTGTTGCAATAAAAAGTAAAAAACTACTGAGGCAGTTTAAAGAAAAACATTTTTAGGGAAATGGATCATAATTTAGATTTGAGGCTATATTCATTGACCCCAAATATTTCTGCTGTCCATTTATTTCCCTTACTGATGATCTTACAAGTTCTTTGAAAGCTCTAAGTCCAAATAGCAGCAACTGGAAGAGGAGCTAAGGACAGGGGTTTAAATGTATAAATTATTTGTAAATTAGGAATTGCCTAAAATCATTACCTATTTTCAGATTCCATTTCTATAGAACCATCTTTTAGTTCAAATGCCAATATGTTTGCAAGTAAAACCCTAAATGATAACCAATTTGAGGGTTGTATGGATAGATGGATGGATAAACATTAAAATACTGCATCAAAATAGATTTACAAAGTTAATATTGGAATAATCAAGATTAAATGTGTTTTTTTTTACTTCAAAGACATTCCTCTAACAACTTTTCCTCCACATAAATGACCAGTCTTTTAAATTCTAGCATAAGCCATGGAAAAAAGAAAATATAAATCAACTCTCTAGCTATACACAATATATCATCAAATCCTTTAAGCTCTAAACATTGTATTCTTCACATATAAAATTTTACAGTGCTACCTAAACCCCAAGAACGTCAATAGTTTCCATAGAAAAAGGTATTACTGTTACAAAAACATTTTATAAGAAAAATCAAATAAGACATTAGTATTCTTTTTATTTTATTACAAGTTGTTAGAAATTGGCAGATCATTTCATCAGTATTTTAAATATGTAAAGGTAGTAAGTATGGATAAGCCAGAGGTACATGCATAATGCATCTGACTATAGATCATCAAAATAGTCTGATCTTAAATCTGACATAAATATATTTTATTGATTTCAGAGAGGAAGGGAAAAGGAGACAGAGATGGAAACATCAATGATGAGAAAGAATCATTGATCAGCAGCCACTTGCACGCCCCATACCTGGGATCAAGACAGCAACCCAGCCATGTGCCCTGACCGGAAATCAAACCGTGACCTCCTGGTTCATAGGTCAATGCTCAACCACTGAGCCATGCTGGCTGGACAATCTGACATCTTTTAGAAGTCATCCATTAATCACTCCTCATTTCAAAAGCAGCCTTTAGCAAGGGGTAAAATATCTCTACAAGTTACAAAATGTGCTGCTGACACACATAACAATTAAATCATTATATACTGAGTATGAGAAACTCAAGTCTTGACCATGGGTTGCTTTAAATAAAGGTTCTATTTTTTTTATTGTTTCAAGTATTATAAATAGTAGTACCTATGTCTCCTTTCCCCCTCCCCTGCCCTTTCCTACCCCCGGCACACGCCTTTACCCCCCCCCCCCGCCCCAGTGTCTGTGTCCACTGCTCATGCTTACATGCAGCATACAAGTCCTTCGGTTGATCTCTTACTTCCCCCCAACACTCCCCCAGCCTTCCCGCTGTAATTTGATAGTCTGCTCGAAGCTTCTCTGCCTCTCTATCTTTTTATTCATCAGGTAATAATGTTCTTTATTATTCATAAAAGAGTGAGATCATGTGGTATTTTTCTTTCATTGCCTGGCTTATTTCTACATATCCTCCAGGGTGGTTACTTTCCTTCTTTCTTTCTTTTTTTGAATGTTTATTGATTTTCAGAGAAGCAGGGAGAGAGAAACATTGGCTGAAACTTCCTGGGGACTGGGCATAGGGCCTGGCTGGGAGTGGAGCTGGCCACCTCCCAGGCATGGGATGCCGCCCAGCCGCGTGCGCAGCACCAGTGAGGGCCGGAGTGGCCACTTTTCACACCCAATGACAAGTATATGAAAAGAATGCTCATGCTTTACATTTTCTTTAGGAAAACCGATAGTGAATTTTCCATCTTTCCCCCAACCATTCACCAATTATGTAGCAAAGATTAGATGCTAATGAAAAGCACCGCCTATGCTAACTGCAGGACCTCCCACAATCCTCAGAGTCTCTTACAGTATGTATTAGCTCACATTTTGCCAAAAGCAATACAACAAATGATCAATGAGCAATCTAGGAACTGAGCTTCAGTGGTTTGAAGTTAAATTTACAAACCATTTTTAGTTGTCTAAAAATTAATTAATGTACAACATAACTTCAGAGATGAGGGGAAAGGAGGGAGGATAAAGAGAGGAAGAGAATGAGGGTGAGAATATCAACACAGTTAAAAGCACTGACATACTGAGATTTATAAAAATAATACTAATCCACCTAGCCAGTGTGGCTCAATGGTTGAGTGTCAACCTAAGAACTGGGAGGCCACAGTTCAATTCCCGGTCAGGGGACATTCCTGGGTTGTGGGCTCAAGCCTCGGTAGGGGGCATGCATCCAGGAGGCAGCTGATTAATGATTCTCTCATCATTGATGTTTCTCTCACTCTCCCTTCTTCTCTGAAATCAATAATAATGTATTTTTAAAAAAATTAATACTAATCCACAAAGACCAAGAGAGGCAAACTGTGACTGAAATAAAAAAAATTAGCATGATATGGCAAATCCAGTTTAATTGAGAAGTTGATGAATTAAGTGGCAGATATGATGTTTTCTCCAATGTCACAAAGTTTTTAAAACTAAAAATCCTATCTAGTTTCAAAATAAAGTAGGAGAGAAACATTACATGCAGCAGGTGAAAAAAATTAGTATGACACAAGTTCTGGTCGGTACTGTTTTACTTCTCAAGCGATGTGGACATACACAGGCAGCCGTTTTTTTACTATCATAATTTTACATGATACACATATACTGCATATGTATTCTTGTATCATTTTGATTCCCACAGGAAAAATGAAATATAATGCACAATGGGATATAAATATTTCAAAAGTGATCAGATCTCAAATCTTCAGAGGGAAGGTAAGGAAGGTAGGGAAGGATGTAGGTAAGGGGGAGAGATCAACCAAAGGACTTGTATGCATGCACATAAGCATAACCAATGGACAGAATGGGGGGGGGGGGGTGCCAATGGAGGGATAAGGACACATATATAATATCTTTATCAAAAAAGAAAGAAAAACAAGGAGAACACATGCAGCAGCTATTAAAAAAATAATAAAGCTGTCAATTAAGAATAAGCTACCCCCGGATTAAAAATGGCGACAGAGTAGGAGGATGCTGCCCGGACACACTCCCAGGAACAAGCTGGAATTAAACTTAAATACAGAAAGGCTTCCTGAATAATCAATGGAAAACTCACAGGAGAGAACCCGGATACAAAAGGACTGCACAGAGATTGGTGGGGGGGTGTACGCACAAAAGGGCTGGCCTGGCACCCACAAACGACAACTAAAGTCCTAGAGAGATATCTCAGCTGTGTGTGTGTGTGGGGGGGGGGGGGGTGCCACTGAGAACTCTGGGATCTAATCCCCAAGCTGGGCTCCCAGCAGATAGTACCAAACTGAGGAGGCTACCCACATAACATCAGGCTGTGAAAAGCAGTGAAGTGCTGTCTGCCAGGGAGTGCAGCTGAAAATTCATTCAGGCACCCCCTTAAAGGGCCAATGCACAACAATTCCCTGTGAAGCCACCCAGAGGGAGGCTCTGGCAAAGGGAGGGTGAAGTGGACTGGAGCTGTGAGAGTAGAAGCCAGGACTGGGGAATTGGGGGATAGAGCTCAGAAGGCAGACACCCCAAGTTTCCTAGGCTGAGTCATTCCCACACACGGCAGAGGCCATCTTTTTCCCACAGCAGACTTCTGCCTCGCCTGGCAGGAAGACAACGGACACACCCTACTGGAAAATACCT